CACCTAGTGTTGGCTCCCAAATACTGTTGTGTGTTTGTACAAGGTCTCTAAAATGCAGCATTTCCGTTGCCTTTTTACAGGTCTCTGTTTCATGCAAGAAAATCACTTTATCTGTTAGTGATTTTCTAATGGATAAGAAAATAGCCCGGGGTATATTTATTGTATGTTGCATTTAGGTCTAGCACAGAGGCAAACTGAGATGACTCAGTTGGTAGTGAGCCTTTTACTGAAGTCATCCCGAATCTGTCTGTGTTGATAGTGACCAAAATCTCTTGGCATCTTGTAGTTTTACAAAAATCATGGCGCTCGGAAGAGGCACCTGGTGACGGGTGCTTCTCTTCTCGCCTTTCCTTCAGTAAGTAGGAAGGCTTGGTATTTGTATTTCTGTACGGGGAGGAAGATGCTGTGTGATTAGCTGTTGGCGGCAGGGGTTGTCATCTTGAGTATATTTGTTGCAAATGCCTAGCATGGCCGTGCTCTGGTCCGCGACTGAGCTCTGAGCTTGCAGGTGCTCAGAGCCGAGCAGGTACCTAACACGGAACACTAACGATGGTAATCGTGGGACCCCGAGCTCCGAAGCACCTCTGTGGTTTCACAGCTTCTTGGCGTCTCTACCTGCTAATCCCGTGAGTTGCCAGGAGGCACCAGCAAGCGCCGGTTTACCCCCAGCGATTGTTCACTTGCAGAAGTGCAAGCACATGGTGTAGATTTAGGCTGTAACTATGGCAGTCTGGAGGAATGTGTGAAAAGAGAGCGCCTGGAGACGTTCGTGCACCCTCTCGCGAGGAGAAGGCCACGTTACTGGAGCTGCTGGCTAGCAGTAAACAGTCCTGGCACCCTTGTTTCAGGACTTGGCAGAAGCAGGAGTTGAACAGAGTCCAGCTTTACTCTCTACTGCCTGTTCAGTAAGTTGAGGACAAGGCAGATGATTAAGGAAATGTGGGGAAACTGCTACAGAAGCTTTTGGAAAGATAAGAGACTTTGGTCTCCATGTCTGACAGTCTGGCACTTTTCACTAGCATTGAATTCACATGCAAATCAAAGGCAACATCTACTCCCACAGGAAGCTTTATTAATGTACAGGCCTGCTTGTGAATCGCTGTGCTGATGAAGGTTGTGGGACTGACTTCACTGTCAAATGAATTTCTCTGTATATCCTCACTTGAAGGACGGCGCAGCGCCGGTAACCTCAGCAGGGTTCCCAAGCCAGGCTTTAAAGCTTGGCTTTCCACAGGAGCCATTATGAGGTCTAACCAGAAAAAAAGTGGTGGAGGTACCGTGCCAGCTCAGCGACAGGGCTCTCTTGAGCGGTGGTTGTCGGGTTGTATTAAATGGGAAGTGCTGGTGTAATGAGGGTAGCTGTCCGCTGGGCCTGAGTTGACATCTGCAAATGAATGTGACGAGGGCACTCCAAATGGGCTTGGAATAGGAGAGGAAGAGCGCTGGTGCTTTCCGTATTGAGCTAGCCGTCTTTTCTGTACACATCCCGTCCCGTATGCGTTACACTCTGGATGAGACTTTACAGCGACAGTGGTAAGCGTGCTTGATCCGAGGTGGGGCAGGCAGAAAGGCCAAGTAAGGAAATTTAAAAAGGCTAAGTGACTTGGGATCTCTGAATTCATCATGCTACCAAGGACACAGCAGCTACTTGATGCAGATGTTCAGGAAGAACCAGATCTGTGCTGTAAACAACCTTCTGCATCTTAAACCCAAGCTCATCTGATGCTTTTATTGCTTCAGTTATTTATAAGCAGAAGAGTATAATCTTGAGAGGAGAGATGTGAGAAATGCCGGTGCAAGCTGCACTCCGCTGAGCTGCCGGCTTGCCACCGCCTCACCCCCACCTGTCCTGTCTGCGGTTCTCCTCATCTTGTTCCTATTTGTTTTGGCTCATTGCATCCGTGATGCTCTTTCTAGCCAACTCATTTATTACTCTCTTTAGTCCTCTCCTTTCTCCCCCTGGCTTTCTCTGCTCACCTTCCATACCCACTTCTCCCTGTGACGCGCGCTCCCTGGTGCCACCCGGTCTCAGTGCAAGGTCAGGTGCTTCTCCAGCCAGCTGGACCCCAAGTAGGCCATTGTAGACACTGTCTCAAGAGGAGAGGAAGCATCCAGCCCATAGGAGGACAGGTGGATGGGCATGCGTGCGCATAGGTGCGTGAGCATGGAGCAGGGGAGTTGCCCCGTGCTGCGCTCCTTGGCAGCCCAGCTCGTTGCAAGGTTGGCCCAGGTGGGCCTGCTGGTGGCAGAGCCCTCCTGGTCATAACGCTCACCCCGTCTAGCTGCACAGAGCTTCGCGACCAGCTCAAGCAGAAACCAGGCATTTCTTGCATGGCTAGTTGTTCTGGGAATCTTCAAAAATTTCTGGCAGCCAATTTTAGTTGTGCAACCTCTCAGCTGCCAGAAAGGATAGAATATGATCATATCACATGAAATGCATGCAGGGTCTGCTATAGCAACTGTATTTCAAAGAGACAACACATATGGTGACTGGTTCTTTTTGGAATAATATCTATAAGTTGATGATGTTTTATTCAAAAAGGCTGTAGCTTGAAAGGTTAGGGATGTTCTGATTGTTTAGTGTATGATTAAAGTAAGGCTTCTGTGGGTTTTTTTGGCCTATTGAATCTAATTACTGGGAACTAAAATGATCATTTGATTGCACATTTACCTGGAATTATTCCTCTGCAGAGCCAGTCTTAATAATATATAATAATATGTTGCACTTGTACTGTATAGCACTTCTTGTCTGAGCAACTCAGAGTGCTTTACAAGTATTCATTAATTAAATAAGCCATACAACACCCCTGTTAAGTAGGTGACTATTTGTTGCCCATCCCCTCAAGTTGTGTAGGATTTTTTTGTGCTGCCTCTACCCACCCTTGAAGATGCTTTAACAGCTAAACAAGCTAATTCAATGAAAATAACATTGAGTTTTTATCGTCAATAGCACTTTCTGCATATAGGTCTCCTTTGTTGCATTTTATTAATTGGTGGGCTTTGGATCTTCTGGTTCTTTATGCTGAACTGACTGCAGCAGCGCTTGTGCATGTGGGAACACACACACGCAGTTTCTTCAGAGCTGTGATTTGTGCGCATGACTGACAGCTCCTCACATCCCAGGCACCCCTTTAAGGATCACAGGTCTGGGGTACGCAGGCATGTCAATGTGTCATTTTTAGAGGTGTTAGGGGTGCGCTAAGCTTTGTCTACCCGACTTTCAATGTAAAATCTGATTTCTACCTTCGCCACACCAATCTCTGCTGGAAATCACGTTCGCACGTAGACTCCTTCTGATCAGTGGAGACTTGCAGTTAAATTTGAGACTAGGACTTGTTGCCAGGGTGAAAGTGAGGCCCAGGATGGTAAGGGCTGTGCTCCGTTCCTGCCCCCAGCGCACCCACCGCGTGCCGCCTTGGGACGCCTTTCTGCGAAATAACCGGAGTGGCCTGGCTCTGCTGGCCCTGTGGGGGTGGCTTTCGCCCCCTCCAGGCTGCCAAAGGTCCTTTCCAAAGCAGAAGGGTGGGTCTAGGCCGTGAAACGGCAAGGTTTTGCTGCAGGATGGTGGATCTGAGTTTGCGTTACCTTTTGAATCAACCCTTCCCTGGCTGTTCTGCGGTGAGATAAAACACTTTGCAACTTGGAGAAGCAAGTGAAACCCTAAGTGTATCTGACTCCTTAATTGAACAGGTATTAATTAAATCACTCAGAGAGCATACACAGTAGGAGTGGGGAAAGCTTTCTCCCTCCTTCCGTGTAGGCATCTTGCAAAGGGACTATTTTTCTTGTTTTACATTAATGAAGTCTTCAGCCTTCCCACTTTTCCACCTACACATGTACTGAACGTCTCCAAGGAGACAGAGCAGCCCGGCGTCCAGCGATGGTGGATCCTGCAGGAGGCACCAGGCTTGGGTCTATCAGCTGAGCTCGCAGGTGTGCCCCACAAACCACCTCAGAGCTGGTCGACAGTCTCTTGCCTTTGGTCCCCCCGGTTAGGTGTGATGTGCTGGGGAGGGATCCGGGCTTCACAGGTCAGGGGAGGTACCTCACGCCTTTCTTTGCTTCCCCGCTTTTTTCATCTCCTCGCCCTTTCTTTTCCCCACCTGGTGAAGGAGCTACGGCCTCGCGTCACTGCCTGGATCCGATATCTGCAGCCCCTTTTCCCTAGCGTGGCAAGCGACTTTCGCAATCTTCCATTGCCAGCTGATGATCTGTTGATGGTTTTGGGTAGCATGTCCCTTCCCCTCCATCTCTCAGTGCTGGAGTGTCCCTCCGCTGTTCCCCTCTTGGCCGCTCATCGATTTGGGTTCATGGATGCTGCAGTTGATACGTCTTAAGCTGCTAGATTATTTTAGGGGTGTAAGATGCTGTCACTGCTTTTCATTGCTTTCTCTATGGCTCGTGAGAGCTTTCTCCGTGCTGAAGTACGGTTCCTCCTGGGGATCAGCACGACTCTGCCTGCCGCTGTCTCCCATTGTGTCTCTGATAGCTTTCTAGAAACTTCTCTGACTCTCCCTCGCTCTCAGGAAAGCGTGCTGACTACTGTCACAGGTAGTGGTATGTGACTGCCCCAATCTGTAAACCGAACCTGACAAGCTGGAGAAGAAGAGCATAAAAGCTGCTAGCATATGGACCTCCCCACTAGCAAACCCACTAGGGTCTATGAGCCGTTCCAGGTGGTGGGTAAAAACAAGCTTGTAGTGGTCAGCACTGAGATTTCTGCATTTGTTCAAGGTTACCACACACAAGTTGGACTTGAGGTGCTGCTGTTTTTCTCTGTAATCCCAATGGAAAGTCCAGTGGTGGGATATTGCACCACTGCGTGCAAGTGCTAAGGGTTTTTTTTGGTGGAAGCCCCTGCTTTGGCATTTCATCGGTGGATGTGCTTTGGGAGTAGATCAGTGGCTGATAACCAATGGAGCATCTTGGCTGTGTGCTATGCACGTAGCTCCCCAAATTCTGCCTGCTATAAACTCAATTTCCAAATCTCTTTTTTGCAGGCTCTTCAGGTGGCACGGCAACTTCTACTTCAGCAGCAGCAGCAGCAACAGCAGCAGCAGCAGCAGCAGCAGCAAGTTAGTGGATTAAAGTCTCCGAAGAGGAATGACAAACAGCCAGCCCTTCAGGTAAGACAAGTCAGTGTGCACCTGTGGCAGCCTATTGCTAGTAAAAACTGAATAGATGCGTCTCATTTGTGAAGGCTGCGAGGAGACCTGCAAAGACACTTGCTTTCGAACCAGTGTCCTCCAGCTAACGCCCACAGAATGCCTCTGCTTGGCGTAAGCAGGAGCAGAGTTAAGAGCAACGCCGGGTGCTCTTGAGAATCCCACCCACAAACTGAGCGTGTACTTTTATTAGCATCCGTTAAGGTTGCATTATTACAAAATGGAATAGCTTTTGTTACAGTGTCAGCGTTCGTAGGAGATTTGCATTAACGTTTCTATTTGATTGCTGTTCAGTTTCTATTCCGTGTTCACTCAAACCACTGATTTGCTGCGTCAAGAATATTGGGGAAATATTAGGATCTTGTATCGTCGGTGTGTTTTTTTCCCTTTTATTGTCTGCTGTTTTATGGACATCTTCAGAAATAAATTCTGAATATTATCGGGCTTTGTACCGTTATGAATTCAGAAAGCTAAAGCCAATACAGAATTTCCTAGCAGAGGATGTGTATACACATATGCAGCTTTGGAGTATGTTCTGCTAGTCTTTCAGGATAAATCAGAGGAGTTAGAAACAAGAAAGACCTATTAGATCATGTATCACATTTTCCCTTTTTTGCCATTCCAGTGTTAGAAATCCCAAGTGATGGTGGGACCGTTGTTATTTTCCTCCGGACGATCTTCCATAACAAAGCACGCGCTCAGGAACTTTCCACTTTAATTCCATCCCCTTGCTCCAAGTAATGCTCCTTGTATAAATACTGAGTCAGTCCCCTCGCCGTGCCTCGTGTTCACACTCTTCAAACATCTGAGATACTAACATGTACTTGCCAGTTTTGGCAAATTATATGTATCTAGCTCTTTATATATTTCGTAAACCAGCACTTCTAGACTCTTGACCACTTCACTGGTTTGCAACTGGTTATTGCTTTTATTACTACTGTCTTTGCAATTGCAGTTTGTCACCGTATTTTTGATAATAAGTTACTGAATACAGCAGTTCAGTTTGCAGTCACACAAAACACTGTAGCTGGGACATTTATCTTATCTCGCTGTTCTATATCTGATGCTTCAGCCTCTGTAGCCCCAAATTCTTTCCGGGGTTTTTTTTTGGTTGTTGTCATAGCACATTGTCAAACTCATGTCTGTTTTGCTCTTTCTAATTTTTTTTTAGTTTGCTGTACTATCACCATGAGTTCTTTGACAGCGTTGCTGCTTCTTTTGCCTTGTATATGTGCTTCAGATTATTTTCCTCCAAAAATACAGATTCTAGACTCTTTAAATATGTAGTAGAATATGGAAGGTAAAGCTGCAGTCACTAAGCGCCTTGACAGTAAAGCTAGAGGGCCCAAACCTGTGGTTCTTGCTCAAATACAGCTCACAGTGACTTCAAGGGGAGTTTTGCCTAAGTGAGGAATATCTATTAACTGCAGCCCTTGGCCCTGGAAGGCCAACTTCTAGCGTTTGTGTAGTGATTTCATCTTCAAAGCATTTTGCAAATACTAATCTCCAAAACATCCCCAGAAGGAAAGTCTGATAAGTAAGTAGCATTATCCCAGTTCTGGACAGGGAAACTGAGGGAAGCAGGTTAAGTGACTTGCTTAGGATCACAGAGGGAATTGGTTTTAGAGGTAGGATTAAGATTCATGAGTTCCTGGCTCCCGCCCCTGTGCTCAGTCTGCTGGACAACACCTCGCACTTTGCAGCTAAGCTATTATTCTTTTGGAAAGTTTGAAGCATTTTGTCATTGGGCAAATACACGTTTTATTGGCAGCGTCGAGTGCCATAATCCAAACAGTTACGTTAATGCTTTCAAAAATATTTTATTTGGTAAATCCATAGCTGATCCATATGCCTTTTAATAGACTCTTCCACCGGGGACATTTTTAATGAGAGATTGTGCTGGCTAGGTCCAGTGTCAGGTACTAAAAGAAGTGCTTTGTTGTGCAGATGTCTTAAGAATAGCTCCAGAGGATGAAATATGACTGTGTTGACCTTTCAGCTGTGAGCTTATTTGTCAGGATTCAAATAAGTTGAAAGGATCAAACCAAACAGTTTCCGTAGTCAGACTGGGAATTGTGTTGCAGAGGTCAACAGTGAGGGCCACATCGCGGATTCCATAACATAGCCAATTGTTGGTACATATTAAAGTACCGGAGCAGCTCCTGCAGTCAGAGACGCAATTAAAATTCTAATTTATTAATGTATACAGAGAGCTGGCCCAGCCTGTCACTCACCGATTCAAATGACTGCCCATTCTTTTTTTTTTTTCTTCCCTCCTCACTCCTGGAGCTTTTGCAGTCTTAAACATACTGGAAGTCCTCTTGAATACAGCAGACCCCGAGTGCATCCGTAAAATGAGAATGCATTATTAAAAGAAAATAGCGGCGCGCTGGTGGGGATTCTTGAGTAAAATGCACGCGTCCAGACGGACGTCCGCGCCCCGGCGTCTGATCACGTTGCATCGGTTCGGGGATACCTATGCTGACGATATGTAGAATAAATCCTGACCGTGGTGGAAACGCGCCCGTTTTTCAGAAGTTTGCTTAACTAGCGAGCTAAGTTGTTGTTGCGCTTAGTGAAGGGATAGACGTGGGTCTCGCTGGATTGCTGTGGCGGGTAGCAGGTCCCTTTTTGTTGTTGTTTTGAAAAAGCTTTGGGTATAGCAGGAATCCTAGAGATCCCTAG